GCTTGTATTTAAATAAATTTTAAGTTTCCAAATGTATGTATATAAAAGTTTCTGAAAACAGAGATACTTTCACTGATGAAAAAAGAAGTGCATTTTGAATCTATATCACTCAAAATCATTCAGCCAGTCCTGGAATTAAGTTGCCAGGTAAGTCTAATCCATAAGAGAGCTTCACATTTGTTTAGTTTCTGCTGCAGGCCAGGTGGTATGACGGACTGTACAGCTGTCATCTCCATTTAATCTTCAGAACATTGTAGGCTGTACATTGTCCTTATCCTATTAACAGACTTGATGACAGCATCCAGAATTCCAGTGACCCCAAAACCAGAGCTATCTACAAAATAGTGGGCCAAAGGAAATCCTGGAGACTAAGTGGTTTTCCATAATGTAGGATGGACACCAAAAAAGGTACACATGGGATGTGGCACATGAAATGCAATAAATGCCACTGTGATTCTCTTTAATATTCTTTTAACCCTTCTTATAGCAAAACTTGGCTGAGTTATTCTGCAGACTAACACTTATTCATTTGTTTTCTGAAGAAAAAGTGTATCTCTGAATCCATTTTTAAGGACAAAACCTAGCAAAGATATCACTCAATATGTAATGTTCCTTGTAAATATTCCATGGCTCTGACAAATGTAGTCATGTAAATCTCAATTTTCAAAATAGATGTTTTTAGTTTAAAATTTTTTTCTTAGCAGTGCAGAGGATGAAGCCCAGTTTCACGTATACTAAGCAGACACTCTGCCGCTGAGCTACACTCCCAATCCCTGAGATTCTGAAAAATGGAGCTTAAAGAAAAATGTTTAAAAATAATTCAGTTGTATATAAATGTGGGTTATGAATCCAACATAAAGATGTTCGAGGAAATGTTGACCTTGGGACACAGATGTGGAGATTCTAGGAGTTACAACAGAAGCAATGGGGTTGAGAGGAAGGTACTTCAAACACCTGTGTGCATGCTGCTGTACACATCATGCTGGTTTTATTTTTTGTTTTTTTAAATTCTTACTTTTTTTTTTTCTATTTTTTTATTGAGAAACAAATAGCAATGAGACAATTCCAGAATTGATTAATAGGACAGTTTCAATAATTAATACATTGTACATTGTTATCTTCTTAGTGGTTATCCATAGTACAAGATACAGACAAAGGGGGCCTGCCCTGTAGCTCAGTTCTTTCAGTGGCTGCTTCAACAAAGCAGTCAGGCTCAGGTTGCTGTGGTTCGATCCCCACAACTCAAGCCAGCCAAACCTGCCTACAGGATATCCTGTCCAAATACTATTAGTACAAATCTTTCTTATCATTGAATTAAGCCAAAGTAGCTGTATATCTATCCTAACTGTTCTGCATATACAGATACAAAATGGTCCTTCTTTTGTATCCCTTTTCTTTAGTCCTGTCAGAGATGGGTATTCCATTGGCATCTAAATACTGTAGGTGCATGAATTCAGCAAAACAATCCAACACAGTCCAGCAGTCCACAATAGTAGTGGGTTATCTGCAGAAGTTGTTGACTCTTAGAGCCTTTTACAGCTCAACATATTAATCATGTTGTTTTTAGACAGTAGGTGTAATGGAACACGCTAGTTAATCCCAGCACCAGAGAGGCCGAGGCAGGCAGATTGCCACTGGTTTAAGACCAGCCTGAATTACAGTGAGGCCCTGTCTCAAGAACAAAAGTAATACAAAAGTCAAAACCTACATCTCCTCGCAAGTCAACTTGCACCAATGCCCTTGTTTTTCCTAGAGGTTCATCAGATATGTCTTGACTAACAAATACTGACTAAAATTAGAAAAACTAGAAATCCTGTTTCTTCCCAGAGCTGTCATCCTTCATTTTCCTCTTGCTAATAAACAGTGAGACACTGAATGGGTGGTAGCTTAGAGTGCTTGGAAGAACTGGCTATTTAGATTGCATCAGTTGTAAAATGTCTTCATAAAACTTGCCTTAGTTAATTTGGATATTCCAGTATATAGCAGTCAGCAAATCCACATGTAAGCCCCACGTGTTACAATAAAAAGACCATTTGTTAGTAGGGGAATAGGCAGAAACACCCTTAAAATATTTAACAGGTGCAAAGGTTTCCAGCATTACCTCTGCAAGTGTAGTTACCAGAACCACCTTCTTAAAGGCTTTTGATGTAACTTTCTAAATGTACAGCTGGCCATTTATTGCTCAGTTGTGAGAGGTGATAATGGGGACTGCTTTCACATGCCTGCACTTGCACCAGACTGCTGGTGACCCACAAGACACCTCAGTATTCTGACGGACATGCCATTTGTTCAAATTTCTTCAGGATGCCTTTTAGGGTTCTGAGGTACACCATCTTCTCCCCCCCCCCCCCCCCCCAACAAATACTCTAGCTTGGTTTACATGAGCACAACACTGGGTTTCATAAAAATGGGAGGCTATTTTTTGTTATAACCAATTTCCTAAGTATTACACTTTTGAGAAATGAGTGGTTTAAACCCTTTCTTCACCATACTGTAGATCTACTCGGGTGTTACCAAAAAATGCACTAGAACACCATGACCACTGCTAGTCCTCCTGATGAGTGGGGGAACCGCGGGAAAGATAGGTACCTACCGGGAGTCTTTTGTCTTACCAACGTCTACTTTCTGAGCCTCAATTACCACTCTGGGCCTATGATCCCCAATATTCTTTCTCTTCTCCCTGTTTGCCTTTTCATCCCACGAGATGCTGATGAATACTCAGAGCATTAAGGTGTGAGAGCTCAAGTCAGCTCATCTGGGTTCAAATCCTGCCTCTACCACTTCAAAACTTATTATTTGTACCTCGGTTTCATTAATGCCATGGGGCTGAGGCTACCTCTTCATGCATGTAGATAACAGCTCTTAGAGGCCCGGTCTGTCCAATCACCCAATGTGTGGTCAGAATGTTCTGGGTAGGCACTTCTCAAGATTCTCAAGATACTAAGGAATAAAACCAAGAAAACTCCTTGCCTTTCTTGGCTTTCTCAGGCACAGGTAGATAGGAAATAAATATAATCATTAAGTAACGTATATACAGTACTAACTGCTATAGGATAAGAAAACAGGTGGATAAGGGAAGGGAGCTTGGAGACTTGGTAAGAATTAGACTTTAACATATGCTAAAAATGTATTTCTAAAATAAAAATCACTTTCCCAAGAAAAACAAAATCTTAGAAACTCAGTCATTTCTATTTTGAAATCCTGCAACCTAGCATTAAGTGCCATGTGGTTTTGGTAGGGTCTTTGGGATCTACCAGGATTTAAGCACTTTCACCCGGGTCAAGGTTTTAGCATCCTAAACGGTCTCTGTTCCCAGTCTTACCTACCCACTACTGGGTGTAAGTACAAAAGAACTTAAGGCAGGGAGGTGAACAGGCACTGCATTTGCTAATCAAAATTCAGGAAAGCATTCCTCATAATAGCCAAAAGGTAAAAACAACTCAATTATATATGCTAGGTGAGTAAACAAAATGTGGTAATATACAACCAATGGACATCATTCATCCTTAAAAAGGAAGATAATTCTGATTGTTACAACAGTGATGAGTCCTAAAGACCTTGTGCTTGTAAAATAAGACACACCAGATACTATATGATGCAATCTATATGAGGTACCTGGGAAAATCAAATTGATAAAAAGTAGAAAAATATTTGCAGATGCTGGAAGCAGCAATAGAGAATTACTGCTTAATAGGTATAGTTTTAGTTTGGGATGAGAAAGTTCTAGAGGTACAGAGTGGTAGGGATTGTAAAAAGATGAATATTAAGTTGTAAAGGACATAATGTCTTTAAATTGTCTCCAATCACACACCGTAAGTATATTAATATTTATAGACTACCCACAACTGAATTTACAGAACATGTAAATCAAAAGTACATGCCAATATCATCAAAACAGCTTTATTTTTGTCACCAACACACATATGATGCTGTGATTTTGTTTGTCTCAAATATTACATAAGTGTCCATTAAAAATATAAGTTTACATTCAACAAATGTCATACATTAAAGTCCTCTGTAAACATCATCTTTTTTCAGTATATCTTCCTACTTTGTTTCATACATAAATAACTTAATCTACAAAACCATAAATAAAATCATCAACTCTTAAGGCCCAGAAATACACACAACATTTGGAGCATGAGGTAAGGGTTTTGATTGTATACATTAACAGGCAGCATTCACTGTGTTTATTATCAGTCAAATGCGTCTCACAAGCTCTGTCTTACTGCTTCTGCCAAAACCAATTTTCATTTTAACTGGAAAAGAAGCCA